TTCTTGAATTAAATATAAATATGCGAAATCGTTGATTTTGTATGGGAAATGGGTGGCCCCCACTAGGGTGGCCCCAGTAAGGGTGTTTCGACTTACTGGGCGGCATCGCGACTAGCGGCGCGGTTCTTGGCACGGCCACGCATGCCACCGATCTAGACTTCGTTGTCACGGTCGTGAAAGACGTATTTTGGGATCCGAATCAGCAGGTACACCGCGCTCTCATTGATACAGTCATTCCGACTCTGGCTTCGGTGTCGACAATCGAGGAGGCAGTTGGCTTCATGACGGGCTAAGCTAGATAACAGGGTTTACCTATAATCACTTAGAGTATATCTAGCTTATGGTTGAGGTTTCCTTCCCCCCCTTTCCTTCAGAGTAATCTAGGAGACATCAATATGTGGTGTACCTGAGGGCGTTTATACGTGTACTTGATTGCCAATATAGTGCTATCGATACCTAGTATAATTCGATAATCTTCACTTAAAGCTAAAGTCTATTGTCTCCAATGATAGTGAAAGCTGTTAGCTTTATGATAGGGGTTGTCTGGATATTGAAACGGTTAGCTACCTTCCAGGTGGGTATTCCGGGCACTTATAATATCTGATATGCTATTTGAGAGGGGTGTTATTTACTTGATAAAACGTATCAAGACTCCGAGTTCCTGAGATTTGGCTAGTTGGTATATCTGAAACAGCGAGTTCAACGAGTCGATTCAAGCCCGGCCATGCCCGGCCCGAGTCAGGTCAAGCTTTTAATTGGCTCGTTGAACTCGCTGATTTGAAATCGGATGAATGACGCTCTTGATTAGAGGACGGTTGCTTAAGAGCTTTGATGCTTGGCGGACGAATCCTCCTAGGCAGCAATCCCCTGTTACTCCTCCTCTCAGTCCCCTCTATTTTCGATCGGCAAAGAGTTATAACAACCGTGAAGAGGACAACTCTTACGGAGCGTCAGACTACCTTACGTACCTAAGGCAATATCTTATAGTATGTTCTTTCCCAACAGCAGATAACTAATCATTATATTCTTCTACTAGACATTTGAATCTAAACGATGAAATTGTCATATGCTATCTACTGCTTAGGTAGGTACCTATATATAGGCGCGGCTACCATTGTAAGTGCCTGGCCAATATTTCCTGACCTGCCATTCTACTTCCGACATCTCAGCGGATTTCTTCAAAATCTAATAGCAAACTCATTGATCCCCACTTTCATCCTTGATACAGACCACCCATGGCTATCTGAAAACCGTGGTTGGCTTCAGTCGTATCCTGATGTCGCCGGCGCTCTTTGTGACAAGTCTTCCCTGCTATGGACTAGCCCATCCCCTGGGCACGAGATCCCAACTGATCTCTTCAGCCGCATCGACATCAATAATAACAAGGTTGGGATCAGCCGGCTAGGATGGGATAATGCTGTTTCGCGTCTTAAAGAATTGCGTAATTGCACCGCCGCTCTCGAGGACGTTAGATACTTAAATGTATACATTTTCGTACATACCGGCAAATTCTCTGATCCACTCGTTGACTCGGAAATGCCATCCGAACTACCGGGCTTGTTCGCAGAAGTTTTGACATCCATGCCGCATTTAGAGAGATTGAATTGGGGGCTTGACGCAGAACACACGGTAGCTTTCAGAGACGAGTTTTTACGGCGGAATTTAACGCTTCCTAGCGTTCGGCACCTAGTTCCTGGCGCACAGAGCCATTACCTTCTACCCATGTGTCCCGGCCTAGAGACGCTAGAAGCCGGTAGTTTCTTTCATCATGCGAGCTGGAATGAACCGTATCGCGAGGGCTGCGATTCGAGATTTGATCTAGTGCGCGCCGCCTCTTCCGTGAATGGTCTTAGAGAGTTCTTGATGCTAGATGAATGGACACCTGAGAGACTTGAAGGTAGTTAAACTCTCCTGGGGCATTTATATACGTATTTGGCTAATATAAACACAGAAGTCCTGGAGGCTATGCCTAACCTAGTTAAATTGACGATGGAGGGCCGGTTGAAATCCAGGAGACATTGGAGCGAGGATACAGGTGAAGAAGAAGAAACTAAGGAGAAAGGAAAACTTCTCAAGGTAAGGTTTAACGTTCCGCCGTTAACAAAAACGAACTATATTCTAACCATGTCACAGAAATGCTTATCCATAATCTCTAGATTTCCCAAGCTCGAGGAGTTACATCTACCCCATTCATCAGGTTTACATCTAGGCTTTGAAGGTGGGAATTGGTGTGGAAACGCCTATGACGGAAAACATGGAAGGCGTTACGGACGCTCCGTGGTGAAGCAGGTCGTCGATACTACTGAACTGGCTGGTGACATAGCCATGAAAGCCGTCCCACACCTCAAAACTCTAAGCATTGGTAGAACCCAAGCGAACTTCACCCGAAATGAGAATGGTGACTTCGAAATAGTGTGGCCCTGGACTGGAAGGAAGGAAGAGTATGCGTATGAGATCTACCCCCTGTGAATCATGATAATTAAATCATGAGGTACTTGGTATACTATTTCTTATGCGTTAACCTCGCGTTTCCCACTGTAATTCGTCAACTAAAAAGGGCATCTAAGTAACTAAGGTATAGGGGGAAGTATAGCCGCAGTGATGGCTCCGGCTTGGTGGAAGGCTCTGAGATATCGAAGATAATAACATTATCATTAGATTTGAAAGAATATAGGTATCTATATCTAATAACTCTACAGGGAGCCGCTACGGGAGGCAGTGAGCCATTTTCGGCTGTATTTTCAATTGTCTAGCTGAAAATTAAATCAACCAAACCATGTGCCCGCATGTTCTTCAAAAATCCCAGGATTTAATCAATCCCTTAGAACATATAACTGCTTGTTATTCCCGAGTAGCCTATCCATGTTATATTTTAGTCCAAGCCGCCAGAGGTGGACTGTCGCGATAGTCTCGTTTTGGGCTGGCCCTGACACAGGGACGTCGACGACGGGGTTTAACCGCGGAAGGTCAACACATTGCTCGGCTAGGAGAGTAAATGTTAGCCAATATACATCTTGCCGTTCTTAAGTCAGAGAGTAGGAAACCCCGTTTTGACACAGCGCTCAAGCTCACCTCCTGACGGACCTTTGTCTATAGCCGCAAATTTTTGACGATCCAGCGTCACAAGTCTATGTCGCTTCGGATCGAGAACAGCAACGTTACTCCTAACCATTATGTAATAGCAAGAATCTCAAGGTTGATTATAATATAGTTGGTGAATGTAAATATTGGAATATCAAGGATATCGTGTGGCCGCCGATGTGGGAGTCAGGGTAGTACTGAATAATTTGATGGTTGAGATGTTGGCATCCAAGTATTTGTAAGATTGTAATCATTTTGTAGGCTGAATAAGTGCTAGTCTTTGCTAGTCTTCGTGTTACCCACCTACTCTATTCGCGTCATATGAGCATTCAAATACCCGGAATCATAATGGCGTCCGAACAACGCCACGATAGCATCGATGGACACATACCTCCAATTTGTACTACTCGAAACCTCTTCGCTGACCATGTTCCAGTCCAATCATTCCTTCACACGTGTGCATCGAAATTTTCGATTTGCAGAGCACTCATCATTTGGGTTTCTACCGAATTAATGGTTCTTTCGAGTGCAAAAGAAAATAATAACTGACCGTGGTGATAATATATTACCATTAATAGGAGAACTATAACAAGCAAAAATCTTTCTTTCTGCTCCTATCCAGGCTCATCTTTCTATCAGGATTTATCTTGCTATCACCATTCATGTGCTGTACGTCTATTATCAGTACGCAGTCGTTATCTTCAGCTGAGCCTCCTTGACTTGTAAGGGAAGCACAAGCACACCAAGGCGCAGATCATTGTATAAAATGCCTATTGCGCTATGTCATCCCCCTAACCCAATCAAATCTCGCTAGGAGCACCTCAAATATTGGTGTGTTATACAGCCATTTTCTAGTGTCGATCTGCCTACCGCCATTTTACGAGGCTGAGCGAGCTTAGCGGACGTTAGTTCTCATAAGTCCTACCCGCCTATGTATGCAATATGCGGCTTACCTTGACGAAAATAAATCAGTGGTGATTCTAATCTATTTCCTTCGGGACCCATCAGGAAAATCAGTATACACCAAACCCCTACGAGTGATCCATGGGTTAATGTCGAGTCTACTTGTCAACCCAGTATTCTATATACCGACCCTAGGTACCTTTTATGGCGGGATTCCGTAGCGCTCCTATCAACGGACGACGAAAATAAACGAATAAAATGAGGATTTTTAACCGTATTCATCAACGTAAAATGTGCAGAGAGTAATATGTAGCAATTAAGATGGTGAGCGAGCCTCATGTAGTACTACCAGGCCAGGGGTAGTGTCAGGGGCTTCGTGGTTGGAGTTATCGGGGATATACCGAACAGAATCTTCAATACCCCGACGCAATGCACTGTTCTAATATAAGGCTGTAGGTGTTAGAAATCTTATTAGCCATTGTAGTTCTTGTTGTTTCATTTCCTGTAGTTTCTTTGCCCCTCCCTGTGCCATCTGGTGGCTGATGTCTGTCGAGATTGAGCCGGTGGGCCATACCCCCTCAGCCACAAACGAACCCATCAGGCCACTGCGAAGGTATCAGGATATTTCCGATGAAGTTCTGGATAGCCCGTGGGCTAAGAAGACGGTTTTGACATTTGGTAAGAGATCAAATTGAGAAATTATTTACAGTACTTAGTCGTCCCCGTATTGATACCTCTATTGTATTATAGACGGAGGAGGCGTGCGTGGTTACTCTAGCCTCCTGATCCTGAAGGCATTGATGTTAAAGATTAAGGAGCTTGAAATAGAGAGCCTTAATAGCAGAATATGCTCAAGTAGGGACTACCCATGGATGGAAGCCCATGCTTCTAGTACATCTACCTCTAACGAAAGCACTCTTGACGACTTCTTACCTTGCCATTATTTTGATTATATAGCAGGCACATCCACAGGAGGGTAAGTGGGGTTACTACAGGGCATCCCTATACTGATATAGTTCTTCTAGTTTATCAGCTATCATGCTCGGTAGGCTCCGTATGACCGTGGATGATGCTCTTCAGCAGTACAAGATGTTTGGGAACAACGTGTTTGGAAAAGCGAGGTGGTGGCACGCAAGGTCCGGTCTTTGGTTTCCCAGAGCCAAGTATCCATCGAAGAAGGCTAGAAATGCGTTCAAGCGGATTATTCATAACAAGATAACGGAGCATGACAAAACCATACCATACCATCAAGCAGAGATGGAATTATTCAAGTATCGCAAAGACCGGACCAGAACGTATGTACCCAATCTCTATCCAACCTTCTTACGAGCTGAATATAAATACGCCTATAAATCATACTAACTAACAAATCGTGTAGTATAGTATTTTCTTTTTCGGTCGATAAGAAAGCAGGCGTAGACATGGGATACCTATGGAGGACTTATAGTCATGAGTCCAGTACAAATTCGTCCGATGACACTTACCGGCCCCTAAATCCTTCAGTTGCTCACACGATACCAATATGGCAGGTTGCGCGCGCAACATCTGCTGCCCCATCGTACTTCGAACCTATCAAGATAGGTGATAAAGAGCATTTTGACGGTGGTGTTTTCGCCAACAATCCCTCTATCCGCGTTCTTGAAGAGGTCCGGGCTCTGCATGGCTATTCCCCTAGGATATTTATCAGTATAGGCTGTGGCTTAAAGACCAACGCAAGTGAGAGCCAAGAAACAGGAAATCCTCACCGCCAAAGCTTCAATGACGGGATTGTGGACTCTGGCAGGCGAAAAAGAGAAGCTTTGAAGAAATGGCTTGAACTCTTGCATGGAGTCCGGCGTTTTATGACTGACACAGAAGGCCCAAACGGTGTCCAAGGATGGAACAACGAATGTGTTACTCTACAGATTAAGTATCGATGGAGGCTCAACGTTGGGGGAGCACTTGCGAAAGTTGCTTTGGATGACTGGGTTCCGCCCAAGTCAGGTGAATCAACACTTGATAAAATTGAGAGAGAAACAGACGATTATCTATCCCAGCCCAGAACTAAAGAGAAAATCCTCGAAATGGCAAGGGAACTTGTTAACATCCGGCACGAACGAGCAGAAACTGAACGTTGGGAGCGATTTGCCTTGGACGTGGTGTATCGTTGTCCCGAATCTAGCTGTCAGGGACGACATTCCCGAGGGTATACAACTCGACATGAGTTCCGGGAGCACGTTATGTTCTGTGGCAGACACAATGATATGACTGATACTGAACTCGAGGAATATTTGAATAAATGCCGAGAACTACCTACTTTTAGCAGTAAATAGGGGCTAAAATATAGAAGAATAGAAAAAGACATTACTAATAACTAACGAATGATTCTACTGAGACTTGACAAATTTTCTAACGCCAAAATCCGACGCCTTCGTACACCTGAACACAAGTTACATAGTAATTAATGTTGCATAATCATCACAGAAGAGTCAGCCAGAACCGACTATATGCACTAATAGTATAATTCCATGTATAACACCCAATATTACTATAATACACGACTTATATACGTCCTCGATTACATAGTAGAACAAGACTTGTGATCAACCAAAACAGGCCCTAGAGTAATGTATACTTATTTCAGTCCTTATCTTACTAGAACTATATACCTCACACACACATATATATATATAAGGTATTCATTATAGGACGTCGTCAAGATCAGCGATGAATATAAATAATATCATTCAAATCGAAAAACACAAGATCTTTTTTACACTACTAAGATCCCATCACTCATAATAGTTCACATTGAGAACATAAGTAGCGGCAATCAATCTCTATATTTCTAGACATCATCCAAAGCAGCGCAGTGACATCTCATATACATCGTGACTAGATATCTGACATTTCTAAGCCCGATTCCATTCAACTCCGACTTAGTTCTCCAAGAAGACGGTCTCGTAGCCGATGTGGATGGTGGACCTGGACAGGTCGACGAAGTTGGCCTGGTCCTTGGCGGCCTTGCTTTCCCACTCGGGGTCGGCGAGGAGGTTCTGGATCAAGTAGATGTCGGGAAGGTAGTACTCGATAGTGATATCGGCGTCGCTGACCTCCCACTCAGGGCGGACCTTGTCCAGCTCAGCTCGGAATGCGGTGCTCAGCTGAGCGTCGCGGAAGTGCTATTACGTGCTTGTCAGTAAACTAGGAGGCGTGATTGGGTGGTAGGCGTATGCCGGGAAGACTTACAATGGCGTACTTGACGATGCCGTGCTTCTTGATCAAGGGAAGGCCGTTGGCAACTTGGACCTCCTTGAACCAGTTGACGAAGTCGGCGTCTGAGACACCAGCCTTCTTGTAGTGCTCGACGGTGTACTTGATGAGTCCGGACATCTTGAAGATTGTGTTTGTTGTAAATGGTTATGAGTGATGAGTGTTGAGTATTGAGTGTTAGGAGTAGATGAGGATGCTGTTCTGTAAAATATTACTGCTCCGAAGCAGCAGATATCTCTATCTTTATACTCGACGGCGACGTGATTGTTGTATACATAATCGCTAACATTATCCTTGGATATATCTCGTTTGTTACATCGTAGTTGCTCCTGTCGTCATCTTCATGCGCAATATCTGACAGTTCTCTCGAGCTTTCAGCCGACGACCGAACTCGGTCGAGATGCTTTGATTCATGCAATTTCTATGTTTGTGCTTACTTACATGGAAGTTGTAAGGGGAAAGAGAAAAGGGGATCTCAAAGCTTGTGAGACAAGACGAAGTTGATAGGTTGGACCACTGCGGCTATGAGAAATCCTCGTTCCACATTATCTAATGGGAGTCCTATAAGACGAATATATGTACCAGGTATCTACCTATTCATACGAAGACGCAGCAGCCCAAGTCTCCGTTCATTCCTTAGGCAATCTATAACGCAACTAGCGTATACTCTTTTCCAAGTCGGAAGGATTTGAACGTATCCATGCCGGTCTACCTACTCACCTGAGAACATGGCACCAATAGGCATGTCAAGATGTCGAAGCAGCCTAATTATACAACGAGATGTCACTTAATAGGCATAATTACCTAGGTGGTTTCTGACGTAAGACAGCCTTTGAGGGCTTCTTTTGGGGTATAACGTTAACTAACTATTAGTAAGATATACTATGTACATAACTTCATGCGTTCGTACTCGGGGCTAGTAGATATTACTATGTTATACTATAGATGGTTTCGAGGGAATGCTAGATTGAAACACAAATATTCACGAGTTTTGTATATCTAACTAGGTTACCTAAATGGATATTTTGAGCACCTAGGGTAGTGATGATCGTTAATTGATGATGTTGTCTATGGAGGTTTTCTACCCCGCGGGGCTAAAGCAACCCCTGAATCTGGTAAGTTGAACAGCCCTAACCTAGGGAACTTTCAGGCACCCCACGATGAGTGATCTGCAGCAGCCTGTAAGCATATCGTCTTATTGCCAGGCACAGTTGCATCCAACTACCGACGAGTTCCAAAAAGCTTAAAATGGAACTACATATCCTCCAACTTAGTAACACTTATTATGCATGTAATATGACAGTAGTCAAGTCTCAATGGGGGCTGATGACAGTTATGAGGTTCTGGGTTGTGGGGGCTTAAGGACGTGCACTGGCTACCATTAATGGCCTATCAAATAAGTGCCTCTTAACTTATAATGTGTCGTAAACACACTAGGTTACTATCATTGCCTCAATCCTAATTATATGCCGGTATTGCAGAGGATTCCATATTCACCCGTAACTTTAGCTTTCAGTTCAATTCTAGAGCTCGAGCCTCGTCATCGCAGGATCAGTGTTCATGCAACAGCTCAGCTCCGCCCATAAGACTCGAGTCAATACTACTGGACACAGGAGGCACTTCTACGGGAAATTAGACAATGAGAATATTTAGATGGATTGTTCGGTATCGTTTAAACATCTACACAAGTTGTACCAATCAAATCTTGTAAGCAAGTGCTTTACCGACCAAGTCGTGCCCAAGTCTCGCAATATCGCGATACGATCCTGTAGGATTGTTAGTTTGTTCAGCTTCTCTGAAATAGAACGACTACCTATTGGATGTAACTTGGGATGTGCTTAACGATCCCGAGCTTCATTCGAAGCGTAACTACCGTATCGAAAACACAGATTTTCCAAAGTTATAGCATAAAAGTATCGATGCAGCCCATCTAGTCCTCATCATTAAATTATATCGTAAGCTTATTTACTCTCCAAATCGGTAGCGTCTATAATAAACGAGACGTGCTGTGTTGGATTTCCGAATACCACACATACACCGCCTAAACTATACCCTTTTCACAAGACCGAAGCATCGGGCGGCTAAACACATTTCGAATATCACCAGCTAGAACGGAACGGGCTCACGAAAATGGCATCAGGCTTATTCTTCGATCCTATTGCGCTACTCCGCATCACCCCCGCCATTTCGGCTACCTGCTCGCTGTGGTTTGGCTGGGACCAGTACGAGTTTCTACAGCTATTTCTCGACCCAAGCAAACAGGACTTGGTTAATCAACTTTTACCGTCTTACTTCAGCACCTTCTTCAACCGGGCCGCGCCTCGGGTAGTCAGCCTAGTTTTCATCACCATCGTGTCATCGGCGGCCAACTTGTGGTACGCGCCGGGCAACCTCCTACAAGAACGCGGCTCGTTCATTTGGTACTCCGGTGGCATCGTGTTCGCAATTGGCCACCAAGTATACTTCCCTTTCGTTCTTCCTAAAATCCGAGCCATCGTCGGCGACGCCAAGGAGAAGAATGTGACTGAGCTTAGGAAGTGGCTCTATGTTCATAACTGGAGGACATTGACGGTGGATTTGGCTGGTTGGGTTTGCTGCGTTGCTGCCGCCGTCAAGACTTTCTCCGCATAAACACTATGCTAAACACTATCCCCTTAAGGTAGATGTGTCAATGTATTCTGTATTCACAATTAGTTACCATCTCGGAGAATATATGAATCATTCTCACACCGCTGTTACACGAATGAAATGGAGGGTTACAATCGAGTAGATATATACCGTTTAGAAACCTGGCCTTCCGACCTAGAGCTCAAGCCTTGGCTCTGCGGGAGAACGAGAACCTGGATGCCGCTCGCCGATCAAAAGGATGATACGGAGAATTAGTCTCGCGCCTGACTAAAAAGGTATTTGATGTAGTCGTCCGGGCTGAATAAGTTGTTCAACGACGACCAGGATATCGCTTTAGGAGACTCTTCCACACCGCATGAGCTACCACGCCGCTCATCAAGTACGAAGCTACCAACCATAGGTCCTGGACCCTTGGTTATATGTGTAAGGCCTATTCAGGAAGTTCCAATTCCTTTTTCATGCTACTTACTACCTGCTCCTTGATCCTCAGATGAAGCTCGTCAGCTTACCTGAAAGTCATCATGCGTAAAGCCTCAGTCCCGATCGATTGCGGGGGATTCGGCCGAAAAGTGTCGGTCGATACGGTCCAACCGCCAATGGCTCCGTGGACTGGCCTTTAATTGGTATTTTAAAAGTTATTTATGTAGTCTCACTGCCACTGTCACGTCGAAGTCTGTCGGTTGACATTAAAACAGACTTGTTGCCTATAGAATGAAGCATCTGTGAATCACGCCATATGATGATATATCAGTTTCGTAGATGTATCCGATAGAATGATAAATATCGATATCATAATATCGTCGTCTCCAAAATGATTCACCACCTATATCGCTATATGAGAGTAAAGCTCGGGAGAAGAGTGAAATGATGTCACTGTACGTTCGGCTGGGGTTTACTCCTCATTGCCTTGCATTCTACTCTCACCAGTTCTAACAGGTAGCATCGTAAGCGTAACTATTCTCGAGTCAGCCTTATTTCAGCCGTTACTTGTGTTTCTTCGCTTTAGCATATCCAGACGACATTAGCAATGGCACCTCGTACTAAAGAAGAGCTCCTCTCTTATGGGGTAATGGACCCAGCCATGGTAGACGTCAGTTTCTATCTGAGACCAGTATTTCATATTTTAAGAGGACTTGCCAACATGACAACAGGCACTAGCCCATAGTCCGGTCCGGGACCCGCTGCCTTCCGATCCGTATTACGGAGATGAGTCCCATTCGGCGCAGCGCACACACCGGGCCACCACTCTGCGTGAAAAACACCACCTCCGCTATGTTCCGGGGCCAATACCGGAGCAGGTTAGCGAGGAGGACCGCAAGATACCCGTGCGCGATGGCAGCGAGATCACGGTGCGCATTTATCGTCCTGTTGTGAAGCCGACGCAAGGAAGCCCCTTAGTCGTGATGTATCATGAGGGCGGGTGGAGCATGGGTGATTTGAGCGACGAAGAGACCAACTGTCGGCTTTTCAGTCGCGATCTAGGGGCGGTCTGCGTCAATGTTGACTATCGGTAAGTGAGTTAAGTGAGATGTTTTGGTAACAATGCGGATACTTCTTCATGTACAGGTAGAAGCTACAGAGTGTCTCAAGCACGAAAATAGTATTGGAAGTTAATAGAACATACACGATGATAGTCTAGGGCCGGAACACCTTTTCCCTACTTGGATTGATGATAGCTGGGATGCATTGAAATGGGTAGGCATTTCTTTCTATTTTTCTACTCTACCTTAGGTACTCATCGTTCATTTACGAGACCCTCCATATGCTTACCACTACCTTAAACAGGCAGCGCAAAACGCAACATCCCTCGGCGCAGACCCTTCTCTTGGCTTCATCATCGGCGGCGGCTCAGCCGGAGGAAACATCACGGCTGTTCTCGCGCACATCGCACGGGACGAGAAGCTCAACCCACCCTTAACAGGACAATACCTCTGCGTGCCAGCGATAATGTGTCTCACTCCTCCAGCATTGATCCCGCCACAATATCGATCAGAGTACCTTTCGCACCCAGACGTCACGCCTAACATAGATCCTGTGCTCAAGATCAAAGCCCCCGCCGAGTTCGCCGAGCAATTGGCCCAGACCCTCAAAGTATCATGGACCGACCCGCGCATGGTACCATTCCTATACGGTGGTCTTGAGGGCGGACACCGTGGGTTGCCACCTGCATACTTTCAGGTCTGCGGGTTAGATCCCCTGCGAGACGAGACTTTGATTTACGAGAGGATTTTGAGAGAGGAGGCAAACGTTAAGACACGGCTAGACTTATACAAGGGATTCGGCCATTACTTTTGGACTAATTGGCCGCAACTGGATAGAAGCCGCGAGTTCGTGGAAGACACCGTCAAGGGTGTGAAGTGGCTACTTGAGCAGAGGCAATAAACCCGCTTCGGATATCGCTCAGGGGTTAAAGCACCTCGAGCTGGCCTATTGCACAGATATAGGACATAGTAAATGTAGTATCTGTTCTACAGGTCTGCCAATTCATGATCACCCAAATCATGTGAATATCGTTAAATTGCTACGGTCTCATTTAGAATCATCGAATCTCAATCTTACCCTGATCTCCGCTTTCCGGCGATCATTCGCGCCCTTGTCATCATTTACCTCCCTAGAAACTTGGAGAACGTAACCTTAGTTGTACTCAATACGGCAATCAGCTATTGCACGTCGAGAGCTAGTGCGATGATTTGCTACTCCTCCGCACTTTAGAGAGCATCGTGCATATAGAGCTGGGAATTTTTGGAGACGGCCGTGAGGGGCCTGTACTATCAGGATATGTGATGTAATGATTTGTGCATAAAGGCGTGAGTGACGCCAGCAAAGCTTTCGAAGGGAAGAGGAACATATGAATGGATTTAAGACTTTTAAAAAGAAGTCATAACTAGGTACCTTACAAATAGATGTTTATTTAGCCATCTTCATAACATATGAAAACATCTAAAATACTTAGTTTTAATCGATCTCCTGATATACTTGGCAAGGAGAAAGAATGGCATCTGAAAGTAAATATCCCGATCTAACAGGCTTCAAAGCTCTAAGGTGAACATGCTCCTCCTTCGACCAATGTCTACATGTCGATAATATACTAAATCCTCCACCCCCCAGCTTCGACTGCTACGGCACACTCATCGACTGGGAGACCGGTTTCTCAAGTACCGTCCGAATACTCACATCGCAGCTCCCGCCCACACATCCCCTCAACACCGACCCGCCGATAGAAGCCATGCGGCGCCTCAACGCCATCACCAACGTCTACGAGCACAAGCAGCCCACATTCCCGTACAACGAGATCCTCGCCGAGTCCATCACCGCCTTCGCGCGCGACGAGCTCAAGCTCCCCGGGCTGCCGGACAGCATCGCCGAGCCCTTCGGCAACTCGCCCGGGTCTTGGGCACCATTCGCCGACACCATCCCCGCACTGCTAAAGCTACAAAAGCGCTACAAGCTCGCGATCCTGTCCAACGTCGACAACAACAACATCGCGGCAACGGTGGACCAGCGGTTGGCCCCCGCGCGCTTCGACGCGGTCTACACGGCGCAGGACATCGGGTCGTACAAGCCGTCGCACAGGAACTTCGAGTATCTGTTCGGGCGTCTGCGCGCGGATCTCGGCATCGACAGGGACCAGGGCGAGCTGCTGCATGTTGCGCGCAGCTTGACGGCCGATCATGTGCCGGCGAAGGAGCTGGGGCTGCCGAGCGTGTGGATATCGAGGGGTGGGGAGCGCGAGGACGCGCAGGGGGTCGGGGGCAGCTATACGGAGTTGAAGGATAAGGTGGCGTTTGGATGGCGGTTTGATACTTTGGGTGACTTCGCGGATGAAGTTGAGAGGCAGTTTGCTGCTAAAGAGAAGTCGTGATGAGATAGGGGAACATGGGGGTAACGGAGTAGGTTGTAGATGAAGAGAAAGAAATAAAGACCCTCGTGTAAGAACTACGGTGATAGTGACGCCGAAGTGTATAACTTATTTCTTACGACCGAATAAGATATCATCTCCCTTGATACCATACCTAGATATACTCAATCACTCCTCCCACCCATCCTCATATCCCCATCTCCGTCCTCACCACCACCCATTCCCCCTTCTCTATCTCTCCCCCGACTCCTCCCCCGTGACCCGTACCCGCTCCTCCTAGTCCTAGTCCTAGTCCTAGACCCCCCACTGACATCGTTCGTCCGCCACCCCCGACGAATCTTAACCGGGCGCAGGAACCAATCGACATGCACAGCGCCATGCATCTCATCCTCACTATCCACCTCCTCCCGCATGCCCGCCCCCATCGCCGTCGCCGTAGCTTCGTCTCCGCTCCCCGCTTCCGACGGCGCGTACCCGTGCACCAGCTTCATGTGTCTTAGCATGTTATACCGGCGTACGAACCCTTCCCCCTCCGCAGCCCGCGGACAGTCCGCGAACAAACACGTAAAGTGCCCCGGCGCCGCGGACGCAGACCGCGACCGCGATTGGGATCGCGAGCGGCTGCGCGCGCGGCGCCCAGACGGGCCGGCTTCGTCTCCGGATATTGCGCTAGGAGCCATGCTCGTAGAACGAGTATGCCGTTGCTCCTCCTCCTCCTCCTCCTCCTTCTCTTCCTCTTCTTCTAGCAAGGGCGGTCGCGGCATTCCGGGAACATATGTAGTTACCCTGCCCACGGGAGCTTTCCGGCCTGATGGTAAGATGGCTGGGCCCTCGGCGAGGGTGTGCAGCGTCATGCTCTGTCCGAAGAGGTCGGCGCAGCGTCTTGCTGCGCGGTCGACTGCGTCTGCTGGGAACCCGGCTAGTGCCGCAGCGCCGAGAACATCCCTCCAGTCTCGGAGGCCGAGACGAGTCCTCGAATGTCCGGGCCTCTGATTATTGTGGTGTTTTCCTCCGGAAGCAGATGAGGCCTGAGAAGGAGACCGGCTGTCCTTGTTTATCTTTCTCTTCCGCCGTGCTAATCTCCCGCGGCCCGTCTCGGTGGTGGTCTCTTCCCCATCACCGGAGTTACCGCTGTCTCCCGCCGGGTCTTCTGCACCAGAATCGGCCTTTGGGTCAGAGTCATCAGAAAATACGGGGATCGGTTTTTTCTGTAATCTTGCGATGCGGATGGCATACTCTCGGTCGGTCTCGCCCTCGAGACGAAGATATGCTTTCTTCGGTCTGCCCGGCTTCCTAGTAGGGTTTCCTTCTTCCTTATTCTGAGGTAGGTCTTCTGTCGGCGGTACTGTCACCTCCCTCACCTTTGACCGTCTGCGAGATCGACTTCGAGATAAAGATCCAAGTGGCCTGCCTTGGCGCTTTCTTCCATCAATTGGGATTTGCGAGCCCTGTCTAGATCGTGGCTTTCGGCTACTAGGATGCGAGGCGTCTGATGCTTCTGAGTCCGCTGAGTCGGACTGGTAATTTAGAGCCGATTCTTGTGTATTATGTAGAATAGTGAGTGTTGCATCCAGCTTGGTGAGGATATGCCGGACGGATGGGCGCAAGAGACTGTAGGATAGATCGTCATCTGTCGAGACTATTGGCCTCAGTCTGGGTTTCTTATCCGACTTGCTGAGAGGATCGATTTCAGGTTTGCTCTCGTCAACGTCCATCTTTTCATCACTCACGGCCTCGAGTTTAGCAGACTTAGACCTGGATCTAGATTTCTTACGTCTAGACGATGTAGAAGCCTCCGTCTCTCTACCCGAATCCTCATCGTCAATATCTTCTTGCAAGTCCGAATCTACTTCTTCGTCAGACACATCCGGCTTAACCCAGGGTCTGGCATTAAATTTGTCTTTGGCAGTTTTTAAGATCTCGCCGCCGATGATCTCTTCCAGGGCCGTGCTTGGCATATCACGAACGGCCTTTCTCAACGTAAATATCTCATCCCGACCATTCATGAGACTCCTGGCGTTGTCCTGCGGTGGTGGGACTTTATCTGCGCGCATAGGCCAAGCCGTCCATGCCCGTTGCGGCAGCCAGTCGTCGGGTTGAACTGGCTGTCCGGTCGCCTCATTGATATCCTTGTTTTTTTTTTAAGTCAGCACGCGTTCAGTCATTCGTTTGATGGTTAAGTGAACACACCTTATTAGGCACCGGTCCAGCTTGCGCCTTCTTATGCCCTTGCTTAAGCGCAAATGCATTATATAAATGAACTGATAAGTCCCTATCACGAATCTCCTTGAGCGCTGTTAACGTATCTATTTCCTCGTGGTTGAATCGCTGCCATGTGGACTTGGGACCGTGCCACCTATTAGCACGCACATCCTCGTCCGAAAAATCTTCAGAGTCGTCGCCTTGTAAATATTCATCCGACTCGTCTGCAGCTGATGCCATGTTGCTTGTGTTAGGCTTCTTAGAATAGAGTTAATTAAGCTGTGGTGAGAAGCAGTATCGACGTGTTAATCGACTGCGAGACTGAATTATAAGTTATAGTTGAATATGTTGATTTTGGATAGTTTTAGCCAAGATGGCATCCATCAATTAAAAACATAAAATTTTCTAACCAACTAGAACTACAAAACCCAAAAGAGAACCATGATACCATTCCCGCTCAAAGATTTATTTCAATGGTCACTTTTAATATAAGCGTGATTATAGTCATTCCGCAAGAAACACTTACGGTGGTATTATCAAAACAGCTACCCGATGTACCTTTATATAAAAATCTATGCCTTTTCCTTTGCCTTCTGCTTTTCCAGTTTTCTCCTCTTCTCCCTAAGCTTTTGGTCCTCTGCACTCTTCTTATTGTTAGTGTATTGCATCTGCTCAAACAGCTTTCTCTTCTTCTTGCTAAGCATTCCCTTCGCCCTCTCGAGCTCTTCGGCCTCTTCCTTGGCTTGCTTCGCGAGTCGCTTTCTCGCTTCCACCTTAGCCTTAGATTGGGGATTTGAAGGTGTCTGTTTAATCGGTTTGCCCGTTAATTCAGCTTCGAGCTCCCGCTGGTATTGCAATTCGGCAGCCTGCTCGTCGTCCTCCGACTCATTCGCTGCTCTCTCCTCATCTGAGAACCCACCAAAGGAATCCTTATCACCATCTTCCTCCTCATCACCATCATCTGATTGAGCAATATCCATGCTGTCAGCCGCGCTTTGTATTTTCTTAACCGCAAGACTGTCATCATTCTCATCGGCGTCTACTTCCTCATCTTCATCTATCTCTTCCTCGCTATCCTCCAATGCCTCGCCTTCGGTCTGTTGCTCTTCTAGCGGTATTGTCGGATCATAAGCTCCTTGAGTATTCTGCACAAATGGGCTCAAATGGGGTGGCAATTGAGCCCCAGGAGCGTAGAGGTCTGGTCGTTTTAATTCCCCGTCGTTGATACTATCCCAAACCCATTGTGGCTGGACGTAAATTCGGCCAGGCATCCTTTGGTTTGATGCAAGCTTCTGTGCTGTCTGGTTGTCCTCGCCATCGCCATCCTCTTCCGTAACAGCCTGTACGACTGGACGGTCGACTATTTGATGTGTAATAGATGGGTCCCGTTCGTTGGTTGTGTATGCACCCTCGCCTAGGACGGCATCCCAGCCAATACGCTTGCAGCCAAACGCACGAAGTATGAATTCTAGGGACTGTCTTGGTGTTTCTCGAGATAAATAGAACGTGCAGTTCTCAAAAAGCGACTCGGGTTCACTTCCCGAGTAGCTCGGCTGGGGCAGAATATCACCTCCGGGTGCGGCTGGCTCGAATTTGTCAATCGCGTTTGCCATAGCCTCATCTTTGTCTGCGTCAATCTCAACTCGATCCCCATCAACGTCTACTTCTCGCATTTCTTTAATAAGCTTGTTCACTTCGGCCTGAGTCTTAGGGTCCGGTCCCGCTTCCGCGTCGCCGTTCGTCAGCTGCGCCGGGATTTCGGTTGATACGGCTGTGGCAAGATTGCCTTCGAGCTGGAAAGCACCAAGTTCACCAGCTGCATCGTCTTTAGTCTGGTCAAACTTGGGCGGATATTTCAAGCCAACTGAAGTGTATAACCGGAAGTTGACAAAACCTAAGAGGGTCATGTAGAACTCGATAAAAGTGCCCATGATCCTGAAGTCGACATCTCCTACAACTCTCTGGTTGAACTTGTACGGCACAAGCCATAGGACGTCCTCGCCTTGGATGTTTGCCTGGTAGTAAATACCCTTGATCGATAAGAACGACTTGCGCAAGCTCTGCGATACGATCAAGTAATGCTCAAATTCGAGGCAAAGTCGTTCACAACGCGCGATCATCTTAGCCGGGACTGTGGACGTAGATGGGAGGTTCGCGAAAAGGAAGAGCATAGAGAGACAGTCGTCAAGGTCGCGTACCGCATCGACGAAAGTCGGGTATCGTTCTCGAATGACATGGTCGAGAGTATATCGTGGTTTGCCTGTCTTCTCAGGCCTTGAAGCATTGCGCTCGAGCCGGCCTGCGTCGCTAACATCGCCACGGCCAAGTGCCCTTGAGATCTTCTTCTCGAGAACTTTCTGCTCTCTAAACTTCTGTAGTAAAGGCTCGTGCAAGAGGTATTGGATGTCCTTGGCATAGTAGAAGGTAGTGGATGCTGTCGAACTTTTAGAAGCCTTCTTTCTGTTTCTCGGTTCTCGAGGGAATATTCTGAAGCCCAAGTTAGCATATATTCGACCATGTGAATTATTATTGCTCAATTGGTGCAAGAATTGCCTTACCCTTTCCAAATACATAGCTTTCGAAAATCCGGAAGACTGATCTGAAGCTTCTTCACAGCTTGTGTTCTCGTGATATAGTTTTTAGCATTTCCTGCCTCGCCCTTCTTCTTTATCCTTCCCATTTTGACGACTTGGATTTGATTAGTTGTCTTGTTCTGTGTCCTTTTTTCAGAGTAATTGAGCAGTCGACAAGCCAGACATGTATCGACTTATAGGCGAATTGGATTAGAAAAAAGTTCGGCGGGGCGCAACTTTTTTTCTTTTGCTAGCTCTGAAGATTAGATTTGCCGTTCCTGACCGCTTTCCGGGGTCCGGGGCTAATCCCAAGTTGCTCTAGTACGTATTATCGATAAGGATAGCTGCCACCAATGCAGTCCCGCAAAAGCAAACAGATCCCTGTCCTTGCCCTGAAATACGTCCAGCTGGAAAGAGCCAAGAAAGACACGGGATAGGTTGAGAAGTCGTGACTTCAAATTCCGAGAAACACGAACATCAACTTAGTAATCCCGGGTTCTCGAGTCCAACTTTGAGTCCAACTTTGAGTCCAACTCTAAGTGCGGATCCTTAATCACAACTAAACCCGTCGCCGACGATGGCATTGCATTATGAAACGCGATAAAATGAATTTCCAAGAGACAGCCGGTCTATATGCCGCCGCTGCTCTGCTACGATTAACACTATTCGCTTTCTTTCCTGGACTTCCCGATTTGCTGACGGCTCGCGTCGAGATCTCGACTCCCGTAACAAGCTTCAAGCGACGTAAGATCTATTCAATATTATCTAATGTTATTTCTCCCCAAAGATCATGGTTTATAAGCTTACCATTTTTACAGTACAAGAGGGCCTATTCCTGTATAATCACAATGTCTCTCCGTACGATGGCGGCGTCTACCACCAGGCGCCATTGCTCCTCCCGCTCTTCTCTCTCCTCCCAGACCCGTCGACATATCCCATATTCGCATATATCCTCTACATTGTAGTCGACCTGCTCAGCGCGGATGCGCTTTACAAGATCGCCGAGTCGGGCGAAGCCAGCGCATCGAGACTCTTTACCTCGGCCCGTAAGGAAAGGAGATGGAGTGGTTATATCGTCGCAGCCATGTATGTCATTATATTGCAACTATTGACTATTGACTATTATATGAATCTTGACTAATACGAATTCCGTACAGCTTCCTCTTTAACCCATTCACGATCGCGACATGCATGGGTCGACCTACCAATGTCTTTACCACATGCGCCATACTACATGCGATTGTAAAGGCAATAGCTGGCAACCCCTTCACCTCTATGCTAGCTCTCTCTTTCGCCACTTATCTCTCCATGTATCCCATCTTACTCCTCCCTCCGTTAATCCTCTTGGCATACGACCGGCAACATGCCTCAAGAAAGACCTCGTCGCTGTTACAATTTGCCGGAATCAATGTAGCGGCTATTAGTCTGTGTCTCTCGGTCCTATTCGTCAGCTCCTACCTCCTGACCGGGTCCTGGGAATTCCTTGCTTCGACCTACGGGATCCAGTTGACTCTAACCGACCTAACACCAAACGTCGGACTATGGTGGTACTTCTTCATCGAGATGTTCGACAGCTTCCGCGCCTTCTTCCTTGGCGTATTCTGGTTGCACCTATCATGTTACGTAGGGGGTCTCTCGATTCGCATCCGGTCACAACCACTCGCCGTGCTAACTATACTCCTCGGAATATTCGCCATCTTCAAGCCATATCCCAACATTGCCGATACGAGTTTATTCCTTGCCATGGTGCCGCTGTTCAGACACGTATTTCCGCTTCTACGATACAGTTTCTTAGCAGCCTCAACCATACTCTATTCCTCGTTCTTAGGCCCTTCCTTCTATTACCTATGGATCTATGCCGGCAGCGGAAACGCAAACTTCTTCTACGCCATTACTCTGGTTTGGAGTCTAGGTCAGAGTCTGCTAGTCAGCGATCTAACATTTGCAGTACTCCGAGATGAGTGGGAGATAGAACGGCCCGAGATGGTTGGGAAAGAAATCCGACAGGTTTAGTAGCCTTGTTGGTGTCGCTATTCTAATATCGGCGTAGTGTTATTGCTAAAAAGATCCTCAATATAGACCATAATCGAGCACCGTAAGGGGGCTAGAGTTTTTAGTATGAATATCATATAAATACAAAAGAAATTTCTCAGGTACTATAGCCATTCACCTTAAACCATACCGATTACTAGATTGCATTTTTACTAACACCAGATGCATAAAGGAAGAAGTGTTGTATTAGTTCAACAAGGTAACTAACTACCTGTTACCTTTCAACTATCCTCCGCCTCGAGTCCTATTTATTTTAGGGACTATACCCAAGGTACTCAACGTCCATAACATGTAATTAAGTATAACTAGGTAGATCTACAAACTTAAACAAATTTCAACCCGAATAGTAGTCAATAGTGTGAAAGGGGCCATTATCAAAGTAATGAGTTCCTGGAGCAACTCGCATTTACATTATTCACCTTATCCGTTGTATTACTATACGTTAGGTGCCTAACCTACCTAATAGGGCGAATAGAAGAGTCTAGTAAGAGAAACAATTATGAATAGTTACAATAGAATTAATAGACACTATCACAAATAAGCAACGACTCTCATTCAAAGGCAAGCAAAACGTGCTAAGGCTAGGTAGGTAGCTAACTGACTCAGCCAAGATTTCTACTTCATCAGTTAATAATTGACCATAACACATAGGCTACTTGAAGTCTATACTAAATTGCTATTCCGTAGTACACTAACTAAATACCCCCTAGCCACGTAACATTTAAATATATACATGCACTAACAACTTGATATGACACCAGATATTAAGTCTATACGCCATGCATCATGGATAAAAGCCAACGTACACGTCTACACATGATGAGAAGGAGCGGTTTAAGCCTTAGCTGCAAGTAGTAACATTTCCGTCCATACCAGAGAAACTCAGGTGATATTGCCCTCAATCCACCCAGCCAGCCAACCAACCACGATAGCTACGCCAACGCTTCTAGAAGCCTAATTAAGGAATCCCGCATCCGCGTCTGACATACTTACCCACACAAAAGTACTTTTGCGCCTCTGTGCATCTATAAAAATAGGAGTCGTGTAAGAGCAGCGCTCTGATTTAGCACTCCTACGGAACTTCGACATATATCTTACTAAGTTCGCAGTGCGTATGGGAAAATTAGACCTACACTACAAGACCCGGCAAGCAGCAGAGCCTCATCCATCAAGGATTACTTGCGCATAAGAACGAGATGTGGTTATAACATGGGATATATGCTTATGCTATTAGATTTAACATGATGCGGGTTGTGTACAGGAGCAAGCGTAATTTCTTTAAACGAGAGGGCACAGTTAACCTGGACGCTCAGGAGCAGCTGTTAGTCGCAAATTCTCTCAACTTAGTGGTATCTGATGCCTAAACGCCGAACAAACCTAGACTAACATCCAGTCGTTGCACACGAGTTCACACCATGAGCGTCTCGCAATTGTGTAATTACGCAAGCATGGTTCACTTTGACTGGTCATTAAACTCAAAGCCAGACTCAGCCACGGAATACATATCCCTTCTTGGGGATGCGCCGGGCTCAGAGTCAACGGCGACAGTTACATTCATATTAGTCCCTCCATATTAGTCCCTCCATATTAGTCCCTCCATATATGGTATCGCTTCTAGACGGAAAACTCCTGGGCTGTTCTCATATAGGTAACCCGTCTAATATCTCGCCTATCTCGCCAAATTGGTGTAGTCCGGCTTTCTCCTCCTTTGCTGCTTCGAAACGATGCGTATTGGCACCGAAGGGTGACAACGCGCGGAAGAGTGTCATAAAGCCTAGCGCGACCACGCTCGTGACAGCTCCCCCAACAGCAATTATCAGCTGAGTAGGATCTCTCACGTCATCGCTGTCCCGGGTGTCGACGCTGCCTTTATGCCACTTTCGCCAGCTGTCCCCGACGCCTGGGATGGCTTCGATTGATCCTTCAGCAAAGCGACCAATCAGACCCAACGCACCCCTCGCCTTGGGCTCCCTCCACGGCAATTCCTGATAGTTTCCATAGGAACGTAGCTCTGTCACGAATACGACTAAGCGATCATAGGATTTTTCTAGCGCGTTGTTAAGAATGGGATGCGGCGTTTGCACGCGCATTAACTGGAGGTATCCATAGGCTAAAAAATCGATGGATGACGGCTTGTCATCCCGCAGGAAGAACCTCTTGTCTCCGCGAAGTTCATCTAAGACGGAATAAAAGTCCTCTGCGAAATGCTGGAATCGGATAGCAACCGTATGCTCAGGTTGCATAGTCCTACGGGGACCAAGACGATCCCGGAGTCGGAGAAATCCAGTTGACGTTGTTTCAGCTGGACCATTAGATGAGGATTCCTCCGTATCTACTTCCGCCGCGAGGTAGCCAATGCCAAGATGTTCAGCCCTGTCAACAGCAGCGGCACGGATAGCTGGAGGGACAGTCCACGTGAGCGGAAATGGCAGCAGGGATGAATAGGCAGGTCGAGTCATCTCAATCCATGCCCTAGGCGAGACATAAAGCGACATAGCAAGCAGACCAGACCCACGAGTCGCTAGAAAAGAGGCACAGGCGAGGGAGTCAGCCCTCTGCGGCGGTGTGAGGTCATTGTCAAAATGTAGAATTCCGTATTTAGTAAGATACGAGACGATATCCGAGTATCCAGAAGTCCAACTACCTTTGTGATTCAAGGCAGGGAGGCGGTCTATCAATTGTTTGATCAGCTGCTAATCGTCGGCGACTAGGCGAAGAAATGTTTGAGGTGGATATCATAAGATTTGTTTAATTAGGGGAGGATCAAGATGGGGCCGTACAATCTGAGCTGACCGCAGCGTCATTGCTGGCGATCAGGGTCCAATCTTGGCGGGGGATGCAGCAGCGGAAGCATGCAACGGCGGCTAGACACTCGGGATCGATAGAATCAAGCCCGAATGCTGGACCCCAGATATGAAGTTCAAGAGCCATTTGGAACTTTTGGAACTTTTGGTACTTTTGGAACGTCGGTCGTATCCAAGGCTGGCAGAGAGGAACCGGGAATGATGCCCAACTCCCAACCATCCAATAGAAAGGGCCGAATGGGTGTGATATGAGCTTCGATACGCAGTCGTAATAACTGAGCGTAGTAACTGAGTGATTAAGTGATAATTACACTTAGTTCGATTTTAAAAGTTACCAAAATCGTAACCGAAGATCCAGTTAACGAGAGCGTCTGGCACGAGAGGCAGCCACCCCAGACCCCGGACTTCGTGTATGTGTGTGTGTGCGCGCACGGACTATCGGGTTACGAACGCAACATGAAGATTTAGTTATCATATCCTATCCTATTAGAGCTGGAGCTGCAGTCGATCGTCCCTTGTTAATTCCTTCTTAGTTGATTCTGAACCTGTAAACCTGTAAACCTGTAAACCTCGTGGTGTTGGGAATATGTTCGAAAATCACCCCCAGATTTAGTTATCGCCCCGTTTCAGGATCTAGTTGCACGTGTTGATAAGCGTGAATAATCCCTACAATATTTCTTTGACGTCATTATTACAATTTAGACGGCCGAAGATGAACTGCTATCGGCCGGTCATTTCCATTTTCTCTAAGTGCCCGTCCCGTGTTGTACATACGACGATACATACGACGATACATGTGCGATGTACCACGCAAGCTTGAGACTAGATGAGGTAAAACACCCGGCTTTTTTTTTTTTTTTTTTTTATTAAACTTGAGCATTTCTAACGCCGTTGTCACTTTAATATTTCAAAGTATCTTTTTCGCCTCCCCCTGATGATCCAGGGGGTGGCAAAAAGAAGTAGAAGTAGAAGAAGAAGAAACGAAGAACGGATGGAAAAAAAGAAACATTAATCTTATAAGCTACACTAACCAGAATCAGACGCGGTGCCGAACGCGCATTGGTGTGAAGGGTTGAAATAAGTGCAAAGCCGAGTTACCGCCCATTTACTTACACTAGGTAAGTCTCACAAAGAGCCGACGGGAAGAGATCGTCGAGTTAGCCTTGTCGCTCGTAGCCCGCCTCTCCGAATTACTAAAAAATGCTGCCTTGATATTAACTTATGTTTAACTTGGAACAGCTGATAGACATAACTATACATAGATTGAAACTGTTCATCGGCTCAAGTCAATCCCGTCTAGGCTAGGCTACCGGTACTCTTGCGTGAGGTATGTTAGGTATGTACAGTACTTTCTTCCCTTATCACGACGATCCGTGGCGGGGGAAAGGAGAAAAGGAAAGAAAGCCAACCACGTCTGTGAGAGACATGGCATCAGACTAACACTAAGGATTGGGTCACGCGGCCTGTTATTGTGTGTCCTAAGCTAATAAAGTCTTGTGTGATTTCTTGGAAAACTTGGGTATAAGAGACCATTTAAGGACGTATGTAACTCCATATGTATAAGAGAACCATGTAAGCCAGATATGGGCGGGCTTACGACGATTCCGCCCCACTCCGCTCACCCGCCGCGGCGCTGTGCTCCGTCTTCGTGACAGATGCGGTGTACTCGATCCTTCGAACGCAGCTTGTACATCATGTAGCTAGCCGCTGGTTCGGTTTTGATATCTGGGTTTTGTATGTAGTAGATTCTGTATGTAGTATACAGAGGCTAAGCTAAAGATTAAATGATTTAGGTAGTTTTCCTATATGGATCTGTAATGGATCTGGACTAATTCTACTAGGTTAATTATATGTATGTAATGGCGCCTGATGCCCAATATTTACTACTGATATAGCGCTTTTGTTCCACCTAAGGAAACGTAGGGTAGTCTACCTAAAGTAAAGTACGTTGTCAGTATGTAAGTCTAACGTGCTGCTGACCGCTTTGGTAATTAGTAACTTAAAGATGTGATATCTTCACGAGTCATACATTCATAGAGCTCAATACTGACCCACGTGAGAAGAACGTGAGAATAATGTAGTTATTTGAAATAGTGTACTGGATGACGAGTTGATCTCAATATACTCAGTCATGTTGCATACCCGCCGTGCTGGTTCACCGAATATGATCGCATTTTCATACTCGTCATCCCGCGGCATCTAGCATCAAGCTTAGGTCCCGGAGATCCAAGGAAATGACTCGAACTCTATTTCCTACTTTGATTATTAGGATCGTCAAGTCATGGTGACTATTTTCGAGACAATCATGTAAGGGATAGATATCCGATGGATTGCGAAAAGCCCCTCTTCTTCTCCCTAGCGGGCCGCGCGCGTGCCGTAGGCGTCTAGACCCGATTGCTGGGTTTGGAACTTTGCATATCGAATCCCAGATGGTGAGTAGATTAGCCTTGATTCACCGACTTTGCGTGGCTCTTACATCCCACCGCGATCAAAAACAATGACTCGCATCGGTTAGGTATGCAGAATAGCGTCAAAAAAGAACCCCATACTAGCCACTACAATATGGGGCATGTTTTTTGACGGCATTATGGTATTGTCAAGCGTGCAAGCTTGATGGCCCACTTATAGAATTATAGAATTACCCAAAGTAGGAAATCAATGCATGAAGTACATGATCAAGATCATAACCGAGAGACCAGGGATCAGACGAGACCAAGCACTTGAGATTAATCAATGGAGAAAATGTAGTTTGTTTGAAAAATAACTGCCGCGAGGACAGCTTTATTATAATTTGACTAGTCAAAATGCATTGCAGATGAGTGAAAATAGTCTTGTTCGTTTCATTCCAATGGGCCCGATTGCTTCAGCGCAGATCCCCCGGTATCATTCATGGTTATTCCGTTCACCAACCCCCCCAAATCCATGCCCGTATCGTGAAAGTCTGCCGTCATCCTCCCGCGAGGGTATCCAACGCACGCGAGGCCGTTCTTTGCAGAAGACACCCCGACGATGCTATCTCTATAGTACAGTGGACGACGTAAAAAAAGTGAAATGCCAAAACACCCCGTGGTCACTAGTATGACCCCGTATTCCCAATCAGAAATAACTGATATAACTTTCCATCCAATGCATGACGGCCGAAAGGCCCGATATTAAAAGTGTTATACCCCATGAAAATAGTACAGATCAACCCCCGGGGCGATGTTGAGAGAATGTATAACGGAGTTGATCCCATTGAGAGTCCAGCTCTAGAGATGCGGAGCAGGTGTTACGAGCGGAATGCAGAATTAGGAAGATCGCGATGCGTATTCGACGATGTGGTACGTTGGCGGCTTCATGATGGCATGGATGATTCTGCATTCAGCCGCTCATTAAATGTCGATGCAGGGTTCGTGCATGTGCCCGGGAGCGAACGATGCCGTAGCTGTGCCAGGGGTGCGGAAAGCAGGAGCGAATTTTTGAGGCGCGCATAAAAAATGCAACGCACCGCTTGCGATCACTTGCATACCCGAATGCACCTTTGTATGAAAGTCGAGAGCTGGAGAAGGGCAGAATGGAAGTGAGCGGAACCCTAAGAATTCCTCCCCGATGGCGCATCATCCGACGATGATTGCCTATGTCGTTCTGGTCGCCTCGATTCTATCCTTAACTGTTGCTTCTATCGAGGCTTTCTGTGTCCTCTTCGTCGATCTATGGTCGTCGACGGCCGGCACTTATCGGCGAGTCTGGAGGACTCGAGTGCAAATATTTCACTAAGAGCCACCCAGCTTAGCCACTCTTCGGCAGAGGAGGCAGAGGTCGGCTGGGCGGCGGTCCCGGGCAAGGCGGGAGCTGAGAAGGTCGCTGCGAGGACATATCGAATTCGGGAGTCATGCCGGCCATTTTGATATATAGGGGTGTTATAAGATAACTTGTGGATGAGTTAAGATAGCTAGGTTATGTAGTAGCTGAGGCGCAAGCGTCAAGAGATGTAAGATGAGCTTTTAGATGTAGTAGTAGAGATATATAGAATAGATATAGCTGCGTCAGTTATGATCTTGTTGGTCTGTTAGATGAATTCGAGATGGGTGAGAGATCTGGGGGAGATGGGAGCAGGCCGCCTTATGTATAATTATCGTCTTCTTACTAGAGATGAAGGAGATACCTAGCCATTCCAAGGCTTATTATAATAATTAATTAGTACCATAGTACAACAAGACATTACGAAGTACACCGCCAGATTTCAGGTACATTAGGTAGGTTAGCAAGTGTCAAATCTGTTAATCTCGCAGTAAGATTACCGTACGGAACCAGGTATGGGAGGTACATTGTCGAGCCATGTTGAGCCGTGCTGGCCGTGTCGCAAAGCTTCACGAGCGAACGACAAAAATAATCCCCCCAATACCCTGGTCCCTAGTAGGGCCACAGTGACGCAGCCCAAAATGGAGACAGGGAATAAGAAGGACTTGGCTAACATGGACGGGGGTGGCCTGTACATAGTATGTACCTTGGTCTGTAGATACATGAATACATAATACATAACTACATAGAATATATGCATGTTATGTATCCCACCCATAGAAGAAAATGAAACAAGCATAAGCCCCTTGACAACCCTGTCAAGTTCAGCATGTGCTACATACATCTGATCCCTGTCAAGACATTTTGTCCAATGTACTGTACATTTACATTTATGGCGCGCATAGTAGATTAATTGCACCTGAAATTGAGCACTACCCAAAATAGCAGGTTGCGCATTGCCAGACTAGGACAAGCCTAGTTAGTACTATCTTTTTTTTTGTCTTGCATTATTTATTTTGAATAGTGCTATTTTATTTGTTATGGAGAGACATGTTTTTTTTTTTCATCTCTCTCTCTCTCTCTTCAAGCGGTCAATATGGTGAAATCGTACTACATATCTAAAACCAGTCAAAGCGTCTTCGGAAGCATTACATCCATAGATCTAAGGACCTCAGACTAATAACTATCCACTTCATGGAAGACTCATAGAACACTTGAGGAGATTCCACTTGATTATCGTGGCTCCACAAACGTCACGAACAATCTTAACAGAATTTTCGCGTGTGGGATATTATGTTGGGATGAGATTTCGATCCGAGTCAAAGCTTTTTTCTTGAGACCAGGGGAAGTGGACCCTCTCATTACGGGCGAACTATGTACGTATGTATCGAACGACGGCGTTGCGGTGAATAGAGACCATAAAATTTTATCCATTAAAGGAAAAAAAAAAAAAAAAAGGCGTTCGGTCGTGTTCGAACATGTATTAACTTATTACGAACGATCCATTGGGAATTGAACCGGGCTAAACAAATAGCAGTTCCAAAGTTAAGAGTTAATTGGCATCGTCTTCATGCAAACTGATGTTGTTCGATAACCCTTCGATCCTACTCGTGTTATGTTATATTACAATACTGGATATACATAGGATGTAACATGTAAGTGTATGTACGTGAGGTACGGTATGTAAGTGATGTAAGTGTTAAGGCCAAGTGCTGCGCTGGAGATCGCTTCTTTCTAATTTGATGAATGCCGAGAGCCTGTAACTTGCGACGTCAAGTTGAATCTCGTTACTTATCAGCATGCAAGGAGTGGTCAGCTGGCCTCGAAACCCTGAACGACATCTGACAAAAGCTGGCCTAAAACCCCTGCATTCCAGCCCTAATCCCTCTGGTTCAACTGGTTCAACTAAATTTCTGTGCTAGACTTGCTCGGCTCGTTATAGCTTCTGTCCTCCATTAGGCAATTAATGGAGAAGAAGCAAAAGTCCAGTTATCATAACAGCAGCCAGCCACTGGCGATCTTCCTTAGGGGCGCCGCAAGGTCTAGATGGGGACAGATCTCGGCGATACAGGCCTGACATTTACAAATGTTACCTTTTTTTCAGTTTTTGTTTTTCCATCTTAGCCATGTGAAGGAATTTCTTCTCCGGGAACAGAAAGAAAAGGATAGTACGAGAGAGTAGCGCAAACGAAAACACCAATAGACCCCTGTCAGAGTCCCTGTCAGAGTTCGTCAAAATCCTTCTGCATCTTGCATATGTATGTATACTGGCTATATGATCGTTTAATATACAGTAAACTTGCGCTTGAAGACGGGGCCGAGATGCTGTCGTGCCCAAGTTGAAGAAGTTTGGGTCAAACCTGAGGAGATGACTCATGATGTGTTGGCCGTGGTTCGTTTTAGACACGGTAATCGGCAGGCTGTTCTTGAGGGGACTCGCTGACCGCCGAGCTACCTCGGGCACTCATCTGTGGATATCCCGTAGACTAAAATGTTAGGGACGATAACTTTAGGATCCATCTGCAGATGGGTTACTGGTATGTATTTCGACGCCACCAACTTTTACCCTTGACATCTCACAGGGCTGATGATGATGGTAATGTACAAGAGGTACCCCATATTCTTTCATTAATACATACACTACATACCTAAGTATACATACGTAATCCCCTGTTAGTATCATCCATGAACATCGAACTTCAGGGCCTTGTGTAGAATCTTCGAGTGTTGCTGACTTCTTAGTAAATTCAACAAATTCAGAACTGGAGGCCTGATGATCACAAGTCGATACACGCAGAGCTGCCGACATTCTATCAACGTGATTCTCATGCGATGAGGGAGTATCACAAGGTGTTACAGTTAACTTAACGCAGTAATACATACGTGATACAACCCACCCGTCAGGTTTTAATATATGCAACTCAGTAGCAATATCGTCGTTATTGATATGTAATTGCTATTATTGTATCTTAAAATAGACATCATTATGTAGAACTAGTAACGCGGGATAAACATACATAAGGCTTGAATAAGAAATATTCGGCATTCATAATACGAGCTAACAAGTCTTTAGTGAACGGGTATGTATGTATTAAGCATGCTGCATGCCGTGGTTATGAACGTTAGAATCCGTGAAGACACCCCTAAAGTGGAAAAGTCGTTGCTGAGGCTGTGATCTACTAGTTGATACATATACTAGAACTAGAAGCCTCGCTTTTTCGGTGAATAATTTCCCATCCCGATAAATTCCACTTTGTGGTCGGACGGACTTACCATTCCAAGGTGAGGCGAGTCCGATCCATAAGAGCCGGGGGTGGTTATCAGGGTTAGGGCCTTGATCTTCGAGGCCAAACTGGCTTTTGTTTGATTAAAGTGGAATCTAATCTACCAATTTCTTCTCACCGTCTTCTAGAAGAATTCCACGATCGTTTTGGCATTCCTCCTTTCTTTCGTGACCGTACTATGTATGTACAGTCCCACGTATCGGCTTTCACCGGTTCCACCATATCACCCTTCTGAATCTCACTCTTCTGAATCTTGGCGTAACTGTTTCACCAATTCCAAACAGAAAATTTGGGCGTATTAGCTGATTAGACAATTGGGCCAAGATGAAAAGTAGGTTAGTTAGTTTTAGGCAGTACGCGTTTTTTGAGGAATCAGAATTAAAATGCGACAAGGATATTACATAGTTGGACAGATGTGTTGTTTCTTCGTTTAGAATAATATCTCACTACTTTGTTAAGTACCTAACCTAATGCAGGATCAGTATACCTAGAAGTGGAAGATAAATCATATGCCTGCTTACGATAATATTGTCATCTGATGTACACTACCTATATACACATAGGTCCACATCTTAGCTTAATATGGTACTCGGCAGAGCAGAGCAGGTAAGGTAAGTTACCAGTGCATTGGGTCTAGAGATATCACTAAGAACCAACAAGCTGGAGTATGCATTCCTATGAACGCCACGATTCGGATCCTTCGCTCGTCGGGGCGTAAGGTACCTACGGAGGAGTCAGTTTGTCGATAACCGGCGACCTCGGGGTAATCCTCGAGAGACAAAGAGACTTCCGCTTAATGATATTCTATAGCATATGTATTCGCTTAAGACACGCTCTGCGTATATTCTCCCTTAAGAGGTATAGCTATGTAGGTACGGGAATCGCGAAAATCGCAGCAGATTTGTAATATAACAATTACATACACAGTTACATACCAGCCAGATCGGCAAGCACTCAGATATATCTCACTCATTAACTTCAATTATATGCATGGGTACATTGGTGTACCGCACACCTAAATCCTTCGAAGAACTCCTCTTATACATTCTCCAATCGAGTAACTAAGCCTATCGAAGCACAAGCCTAGTTACTATAGGTAGGTACAATACCACCACGTGAAATAGGGTATGACAGCCTTACCGAGTGAACAGGATTTGGGATAGTCTCATGTATGCGTATGTAGGACTTTCAACGTGGTGAGCCACGCCGCGCGGTGGTTCTACGCTATAGAAAGTATCACCAAGGTCCAAGGCTGAGATAGAGGTTAGCCGTCTTTCATGCACCGTAGATGTAGGTGTGTTGCAGACATGCATGCCGATTCTAGCTGCAGATGCTTGTTCCTCTTTGGGGTCTGAGCACAAGCTCTCATTATCAACGATTCCAGGCTATCGTATTTCATACTCGCAAATTCTTGGCAACACAGTTGCAAGGCCATTCCAGCGTATACAGAGACAATTAATGGCTAATACATTTCGTCATTCTAAGGCTCAGCTTATTCTCACCGCTACAATCACAAACACCGAAGGTCACCAGATATTAGGCTGGGGGTATTAGCTACTTGGCAGTGACCATCGGTACCTAATTCATAGCCACTGAGAAGGAAAAGAAGAGCGTAACAAGATGGGATTTGCCATTGCGGATGCTGCGGATCTTCAGGCGTAGGATCGATATGTACCTCATAGGTATGTCTACTTACACATAACCAGCTGAACTACTTGAGTTCGGGTTTACTGATCGGCCAATAGAGGAGTGTTGATCCCCCGGCTCTGAAACATCGACAGCTCATCAGATACATACGTGATTTACTTAAACCTGAGAACAGA